TTAACCTAAAAATCACAAACCCAACAACCCTGGTCGACCCTTTGTTTAATCCTGCAGTTGCCCCACCAAACAGATCTCTACCTATTTATACCCTAGGAAAAGAGAAATCACATGGAGACATATCAGTCTGGCCTAAGCTATGTAACCTTTTTTTTTAACTGAATGTAAAGCTTTGTCTCTGAGCATATCTATAGGCTTCCTGACCATGGAAAACAAACTAAGGATATGGGGATGATGATGCTTGCATAACTTACACTCTGGTGGGAGTTTTGGGTGACAGAACCGCGCGAATTAGCGGCAAAGTAACGGAGAGAATGTGAAGGAATAAACTAACGCTCGGTTGCACAAATCTTCATTGACCGAAAAAAACCATGCAGTCACGCAAGCTATAGACATACAGAAATCCTTTTCAATTCAAGAAGTCATCATTTCAAACCCCCCTTCCCTCTACCTGCCTCCACCACCCCCTCTCTCCCCCCCCTTATTCTTTTTCCCCTCCCATACTAGGCACACAGCTGGAAATCATGTCCTAGCTAGCTTTGAAACAGGAAAAACCAAATATTTTTTTGAATTTTTCTCTTCACCATAGTTTTTAATATTATCTCTTCTCCTTGATAGTCTTATATTGAGCATGATCTGCACTTCCCCCTCCCCCTGCCAGAAAAATCTATATCGAGCTGGGTTGCCTGGGAACAAATATTATTCAGCTCGGTCAGACACGAGCTCGATTCAAGCGCAATTACCAAATCGAGCTCGATTTGATTTGAGCTCGATTACAAAGGTTGTGACTTGAGCTCGGGTAGGCTTTCGAGCTCGAGTCACTTATGTCGAGCTCGGTTGCTCAGGATCTTTCTTCTCGAGTTGTGACTCGAACTCGGGTAGGCTTTCGAGCTCGAGTCACCTATTTTGAGCTCGGTTGCCCAGAAACAAATATTGATCCGCTACTACCACATGCAACCGAGAACTGAGCTTGTTTCACTTAGAGCTATATCATGCAGGCTCTAAAATTGTAGTATAGCATTTTCATGGAATTCAAAATGTAGAGTGCATTTTAATACATTCATTCACCTTTTTTTGCTGTTGTTGTGGCTGCTTGCTCCTAAATCAACTAAATACATAGGCAGGAAAAAAAACAGATTTCAATTAAGGCAAGTGCCTCAGTTCACCTCATATTGGTTACGGGCTTGGCATCAATGTCGTTGTCTACAAATACATCGTCTTAAGAGAGATACCGCAACACCAAGAAACAAGGAGAAGCTAACTACAAAATGATCAGAGTTGAAGTCCTCGTGGATGCTAACATTGATTATTTCCTCTGGATAATTATAATAACCCAGATCCAACGTAGTCTGACAAGTTTATGTGATTCTTGTAGGCTTGCAAACAACTTGTTGTTGAGTTGATCAGATTGCAAAACTTAATTCCATCAACAGAGTTGCCTGAGTCATTAATATATTCCCAGTTGATGTTGGGCATATTGTAATTGCCAACAATGCAAATTTAATGGGCTGTATCTCTGTGCAAATTCAAAAGCAAATGTTTGAAGTGATCCATTAATAAGGAGCAGTTTTGTGGCCAATAGCAGAGACAAACAGTTATTTTGAAGCTGTTGCTTGAGGTCAGGTCTCCTGTTGATGATAGCGGCTTTCACCTTGAGTAAAACACCACCACCCCTTTTGTTGCCTCCCCTATCCTTTCTAAAGATTGTGTTTAAGTCAGCAGCTAGGAGTTCATTGTCCAAGCAACCATCATGAAGCCATGTTTCACCAACAGCAACCACATCCAAACTGTTTCCATGAACTAGCCCTTGGAATTCCTGTAAATTGTTCAGGAGTACACATTTCAACTTTGCATTTAATGAAGAACTGTTTCTTGAGTTCAAAATAACAGAGCTAGGATTCAACTGTACATTGCAACTGAGAACTAGCTGTATTTGATGGAAGCAGCTTACTGGGTTAGGATAATAACTAACTGTTGTATCTTAGAAATTCAAGGCTTAAATTATGAAACAACAAGCCATGAACATGAAAATTCTACTCTTCCTTTTATTCCTCATCCTCACTCCTGTGCAAGCACATCCATGTACAGGTAACACAACTATGACAACTTTGTATAATGTAACAACTATAGCGGAACAAAATCACAATGTAACATGTCCCTTTTTTTAAAGAAAAATAGAATGGGGAAATATGTAATAAAAAAAAAGCAAACAGTTTTTAGTCAATTACAGCCATTACTATAACTGGTATTCTTTCAAGTGTCATGGGGACCTATGGGTTGTCCAAGTAGGATAATGCTTTTCCACATCTGCAGGGGATTCACATAAAGAACCCGGTTGAACTACCAGAGTGTCATCAACATTAGCACAATCAGAATTCTGTGGCAAGGGTGACGTTGAGAAATCACAGGGGGTCAGTAACAGGCATCGACACTGTTGGTTGCTTGTTTGTAACCCCAGTGCTTGCCAAAATGGAGTCCTCCACGTTGCTGTACAAGAGATATAAGTAGATGGTATAGTTGAGTCAGGAACAATCTCACAAGGTTAATCCGTATTAAGGGATACATCAAGCAGCAGAGACTGGTATTCAGATTCTAAAAAGCCATGTGTCAAAGCTACATCTGCAGGAGTCTTAACAGCTGGTCTATGTGTCGTTTCCACAGATTACCTGCCACCTTGACAATATGATGACAAGAACCAAGAACCTCAGTAACTACTCCACGCACCCATTTTCCTTCCCTTCCAAAATTTCAAGGCAGAACAGCTTCACCAGCAATAAACTTGAGGAAGCCTCTATGTGCAGTAGGACTCAGCATGGTATCCCTTGCAGGAATGCAATATACTTTAAGTATACTTTTAAACAATTAGAAAAGTATACTTTATTTGTACTTAAAGCATACTTTAAGTATACTTAGAGAAGTATACTTAAAGTACAACACTTTTGGTCACTTAAAAAGTATACTTCAAGCATACTTTATGTGAAGTATACTTCAAGTATACTTTACAAAAAGTATACTTCAAGTATACTTTGTGTATACTCTAAGTATACTTTGTGCACTCTTATTTAAATACACGAGCTGACTAAAAATGCTGAATATGGGATACTGATGCATAATTATACTTACAGCTTTTTGACCCTGAAATAATGTAAAAAATCTTTAGCCATGTTGCAAACATGAAGTATTATTTATTGGTTACATGTACCTCTTCCAGGGACTATTTTAGTCAATCTATTAACAACAACAACTGACAGGTGTATGTATCACAGGTGTATTGAAAAACCAAGAATAAAATCCACAATGGCATAAGTATTGCAATACAAACTTATTGATGACCTTGAATAATATACATGATATAATGACAATCTCTTTGATCTATGATATAATTCATAAAATTAATATAATTTCTAGCAAGAAAGTCGCAAGTGATCAATCGATTAAAATCCTGAGTTAAGTCAACAGTATTCTAAAAATTCCATTCAAAACACTGTTCATTATTAATAAACTGATTACTTATTTTTTTAATTCCAAAAAAAATTACATTCTCACAATATTATGTAATAATGTAATAAAGAACTTCCCTTTACCAGCCTACAGCACTGACCCCAAAAAGCTGACTTCTAACTGCTTACTGCTATATGCTAACTTACTGTCTTTATTTGATAGGCTTTAATTTTTGGCATCTGCTAAAAAGCTTAAAAAAAGGAATATGTATGACCTAAAAAGCTAACATTTACTAACACAGTAATTGACCTAGCTCTCATCAGGTGTAAAGCTAGCCCCTAACCTCTAACTGCTAAATGCTAACTAACATGTCCCTATAGTGTCCATTTGAACTTGGATTGGCCAGTTAAGATGAACTCACTGCCCTTTTCTTCTTGGCATTTGTTTCAAGACAAGTGATCTTGTTCCTCATGGCAATGCGAATAATGCTGTCGCAAACACCATCAAACTTTTTCCTTGTGTAACCTACAACATGAAGAAAATGTCACTGTCTGAGACCTTTTTTTATCATTAAAACCTAAATCACCATAATCTCAGTTGCAATATTGTTATAAATTACAGTTCTTCCCAATCATATGTTACAATAGGAAGAATGTTATTCAAGCATACATGTATGTTGACCAAGAGTAAAAGCTGTTTAAATTGGCGTGAGAAGGACTTATCACATAATGACCTGGTGATCTGAACAAAAATTATATGATTACTCACTGTTTTGTGTTAGGGGATCTTTGTGTATTGTTTCCAATTTTGGGGTACATCATTTGTGTTTGGTAACTGCATGGACACAGAGTTTAGATACACAGTCTATCTTTACCCCATAAAAAGTAGAAGTCATATCACACCCCTATCTCCCCACAATGGCCACCTACCTTGGTCGATGGTGGCCACTGTTGAAGGTTTTGACTATATATATGTATATATATCAGGCATGGGTTGCACTTGGCAATTTTTTGCAAGAATTTGTTTAGTTTGCAGCCAAAATCTGTCATCAGCTTGGGACATTGCCTAGTGCAACCCCAACTTTTATGGTTGGCAAATCCTAGAAAATCAGCAAAAACAGCAAAGCCGTAGTGCTTTAGTGGGGCGGGCAGATTTTAGAAAACTCGAGCTGAAGAATAGGAGTCACAGTGGTAATTGTCAATGCTTGTTAGAGAATGAAAATTTGACAGAACATTTGTGATATTGCTTCAGTTCACGCTCTTTCTTTACCATGGATGGATGTCAATTTTACAACAATTTTCTCTGGTGATGGATCAGTAAGACGCAATTGTTGTACTTAACTGTGTTGGTGTCGTGCTAAACGTAGTAATGAAGATCAAACCAGCACTCTACTGGGCAACCTGAACTGACCAGGCATATCGTCATTGAAGTGTTCTTTTTAGATGTCAATAGATCGTTTTCACGTGATGTCACATCATTTCCGGTCGGCCATATTGGTGTACCACTTTCGATTGCGTAATCCCCGTAATTTTTCCACAACTATCATTCCCACAAGTAAAATGGATTCAAAAGAGAAAGAAAAAGAGTCCCAGAACAAAAGCGGGGTCGACTATTCTTTTCTGATATCCGAATACGCGAAGCAGCTAGATTTTCCAGTCAGAGATCAATATTTACAGAAAATAGCGGCAATTGGAATTGATCCAGTTTTAGTTGAAGGGAAGGACTTTAAGCTGGACTGTTTGCCTCCTGTTGAATCCACAGATATTTTGTGGTATCTTGTCTTGGAGACAAGTTTCTACACTCAGAAACAGTTTAAAGCTTTCCGAAGTCTTGAAGCATATAACCAAATGGTCTCTGGTTTTATCGCAAGCGTGCAAGGCTACATAATCGCCGACAAGTTTCTTGTTTTAGCAAAGGTGAGACATTCCCAGCGTATGAACAACTCTCTTATTTCATGTTGGGTTATAACAGAAAGAGAAGGAACAATTTTGTTTGCACACTGCTTAGGTTGCAAGGCTGGCCTGGCAGAAACCTGTTCGCATATAGCAAGCGTGCTATTTTATCTGGAAGCGTGGACAAAAATAAATGGCAGACTTGCCTGCACGCAAGTGAAGTGCTCGTGGCTTTTACCTACCTACGTCAAACAAGTAGAATATGAAAAGGTGCAAGAAATAAACTTTACATCCGCAAGGAAAATGAAAAACGATTTAGATGCCAAGATTGAGAACCTCTCCAATGTTTCCAGCCCTGATAACTCTGCTAAAGGAAACGTGTCAAAGGAGATCCCTCTTCCCTCAAAACCGGAAATGGATACCTTTTATGCTAAACTTAGTAAGTGCAGTAGGAAGCCCATCGCTCTAAGCTTAATGCCCAAGTATGCAGACAGCTAAATCCTCAAAAGTCGCTGCGTACCTACAATTAGCGATCTGTTTGATAAGAAGTACCTCGCTCTGAGTTATCCTGAGTTATTAAAAGCTTGTCAAGAGGTAGATATTGAGATTACAAAAGGACAAATCTTACAAGTTGAGAGAGATACTGTCGCACAAGCGAAGGGTAACAGTTTCTTCAGACATAGAGCTGGAAGAATCGGGGCCTCCCAGAGTAAGGCTGCTTGTCAGACAAATCCAGCCATGCCATCCCAGTCACTCATTCAGTCTATCTGCTATCCTGAATTAAATAAACTGAACACCAAAGCTATAATTCATGGGTGTCAACATGAACAGGAAGCAATTAGTGCTTATGAAGAGATAATGAAGAAGGAACATATCAACTTCAAAGTTGAGAAATGTGGCCTTATGATAAACGAAGAATATCCATGGCTGCATGCAACTCCCGATTTCTTATGTTCATGCGACTGCTGTGGAGAAGGGTGTGGCGAGGTGAAATGCCCCCTTTGCATTGAGAATTGTGATTTTGATAACTATGTAATGAAACCATCTTCCTGTCTGGAAAAAAAAGGCACTGGAAATTTCAGTTTAAAGACAAACCATCAGTATTATTTTCAAGTAAAACAACAGTTTACACGCAAGAGGCTATATTGTGACTTTATAGTGTGTGCATTTGGACATGTGGGAGAGGCAAAGCTAGTAACACAAAGGCATTTCCCTGACAAAGATCATTGGGAAGCCGTTTTACCTAAACTGACCAGGTTTTGGAGGACTTGCATATTACCTGAAGTTTTAGGGAGATGGTACACTAGGAAACATGACTTTGGTGATGTTAAGCCAATGGAAGCCCATTCTGTTTGCTTTTGCCGAACTGTGACAGCTGAAGGCACAGTAAGCTGCTGTAATGCTAATTGTCCTATTTTGAAGTTCCATTTGTCATGCTTAGGTATTTGCAGCATACCTAAAACATGGTACTGCCCCAACTGCAGAACACTGCCTGAATTCAAATGCACAAAGAAGTCCACTCAAGCTTGCAAGAAACATGTAGCACCTTCAGATGCCCTTATCTTGGATTCTATTTGTGTTTGCAAAAAGAAGCCAAGTGAAACTGATAAGCTCTTAGAATGTCACAATGAAGGTTGTAAGAATGGCAGATTCTTTCATTTGGCTTGCATAAATCTTAAACGTATGCCAAACACCAGTAAAACAACATGGGTTTGTCCAGCTTGTAAACCTGTTAAACAGAAGAGTTCCAGTACTGAAGATGGAGTGAAGTTTGTAAAAGAGGTGAAAAGTAAAACCCCCATTGAAAAGTACAAGCAATATGCCAAACTGGGGAAGGCAGAATATGACCTTATCATGTCACCAACAGGATGGTTAGATGGTACAATAATACATGAGGCTCAAACCATCTTACGGCAAGTCAATAGCAGCATACGTGGCTTCCAACGACCAACACTCGGGCCTATCAAGCAGTTTGATATAATGACTGGGGACTTTATTCAGATTTTGAACATCAATAAAAATCACTGGGTGTGTGTCAGTTCAATTGCCTGCCCTCCTGGACATGTAAATTTAATGGACAGTCTTGCTAAGCCAGTAATTTCAAAGGAACTTAAGGAACTGGTAGAGGCTTTGCTTGGTCCAAACTTTCAGGGCATTTTTAACATCCCAGTACAGCAGCAAATGAATGTCAGTGACTGTGGAGTGTTTGCCATAGCCTTTGCAACATGTCTTGTTTATGGACAAAATCCATGTAATGTAATTTTTGACATTCCTAGGATGCGCCAACACTTGCATAGTTGTTTGAGAGCTGGCATGATGCAGTTGTTCCCTACCACTTGAATTTCTTACAAAGTACACTTGGTCATCAGCTACAAATCTGTACTAAGTTATGATTTTTAACATGTAACTGACATGTGGCTTTAGAAGGTTAGTTTACATTTGAGCAGGTCTTAACCCTGGCCACCTGACAAAGTTTACAACAACTTTCATTGTCTCATCTTTTTAAAAACTTTCTATTAACAGCTACCTATTGCTTTCAAGTTTTAAAAAACTCTTACAAACTAGGTTGAAAGAAAGAGTAAAGCAGATTTGATGAATCCCATTTTGACTTGAGTTAAATGTAAGAGAGCCAGAAGAAAATTGTCAGAATAATGGGGAAGTCATTTTAGGTGCCCATGGTTGTCACTGTAAGTTTCAGTTACATATATGATTTTAAGTATATATTACAATGACAAGTGCATGCGATGCCTCATTCAATTACATAACACCATGTAAACACCAATATGTATGACAGGTTTCCAATCACCCTAATTACTAGTAATTATAAAATTGCTCATTACTCGGTTGCAACTGTACAACTGTGGTTCATGAAAATGAAGAACAGCTAGAGTCTTTTGTCTCTGCCATCACACTCTATGTCACAAAGAATGTACTGCTAGTTTATCATAATGCTTTAAAGGACCCTAGTCAACCAATCAGGGAGAGAATACTGAGAAACTACTGTAACGTATTCGCTAAGACGGATGACGGAACACCAGAGCACTCAAACACAACGTTTTAATCTTGTAAGCCGAGTGTACATCAACAAGCGAAGAGCGCGCAAAACATGCCGGATCCCGGATGTAAACTAAACTGTATAAATTAACTTAACATGCATAAATTAACATCGTTACATCTCCCTTCGTTATTCGAGAGACGAAAGAGTAGAGAAAGAAAAAAAATGAATTGTTTCCTATAATGATTGTTCGAAGAACATAAACGACATAGAAAAAGTTGTCAGCATGCATAGTCACTGAGGTATGCTGGTCTTCATAGGACTCTTCCCGGCAGCTGCATCTTTCAGGACTTGGTATGTCATCAGGTGGAGGGCCTGGTGCTGCTTGTGGCTTGGCCACCTCTTGGGGCATTGATTCAGCTACTAGTGGTACCTGTTCAACATTGGTCAGGGGCAGGGGACCAGGATCGGAGCTAGATACCTCAATGTCAGGAAGTGATTGTTTTGGAACTTCAGCTGTGAGACGCAGGTGTCGGCGGTTCTGGCGATACACCCATCCATCGTCAGTAATTACTTGGTAGGAACGTACACCAACTTGTTTGTCAACCGTTGCTTGTGTCCGTTGATGCCTATACTTGGGTGGATGGATACGAACGGTGCTCCCTGGTTCAAGTGGCCGGAGTTCTTTAGTGCCATTGTTGTAATAGAAGGCTTGTTTGTTCTTCTGAGCATGAAGAAGCTGGGAAGTGGTGTCAAATTCAGGTTGTGTCAGGAGTCTGCCAGCGGTAGGCAGGAGTGTTTTGGTACGGCGGCCAAAGAGACGCTGCGCTGGAGATGTTCCTAGTCCTTCAGTGGGGGTGTTGCGGAAGTCAAGGAATCCCAAGTAAGGGTCACTGCCAGCCTCTAAGGCCTTAAGCATGATTCGCTGCGCAGTCTTTACCGCGTTTTCCGCTTTGCCATTTGACTGCGGGTAAGTGGGAGAGCTTGTAACATGATCAAACTCATATAAGTCTTTGAAACTTCTTAAACTCCTGCGAGCTGAACTGGGGGCCATTATCGCTTACTATCTTGTCCGGAATTCCATGTCTGGCCATATGAGGCTTGAGCTTTTCAATTACTTCTTTCGATGTCTTAGTAACAAGCTTGTTGACCTCAAAGAAATTTGAGTAATAGTCAGTAGTGACAAGGTAGTCCTGGCCCCGGAGCTCAAAGAGGTCAACAGCAAGGACTTGCCACGGTCTTGATGGTGCTGGGTGTGAGATCATGGGCTCCCTCTGCTGCCCTTGGTGGTATGTATTGCAGACTGCACACTGGGAGACATATTCTTCAATCTCCTTGTACATGCCAGGCCAGTAGAAAGCTTCCCTTGCTCATCTCTGGCATGCCTGTACTCCCAGATGACTGGAGTGTAGCTTCCTTTTGAGCTCAGCTCTCATTTGGAATGGTATGACAACATGGTCTCCCTTGAAAATAACTCCGTTTTGAAGTGTGAGCTCTTCTTTGAAAGGAAAGTACTCTTGAACTTCCGTTGGGAGACGGAGCTTACTTTCTGGCCAGCCTTGTTTAATGACGCCAGCGAGGGTCTTGAGAATAGCATCTTCTTGAGTAAGGTTTTGGATTTGACAGAGGGTTTCATCTTTCACTGGAAGATACTGTAGCATGTTTACTTGCTCTGCTTCTATCTCTGTTGGAGACCTTGTTTCTGAGACTGTCATGACGTCTTCCTGATCTTCAGGGGCTTCTTTAAGCGACAGATACGCACGACTCAGAGGATCAGCCATAAGCAGGGAGGGTCCCCTTTTGTAAGAAACTTCAAACTCGTAGCGTTGGAGTCTAAGAAGCATGCGTTGTAGCCTTTTTGGTGTGCTTAGGAGGCTTTTGTTGAAGATTGCTTCCAAAGGCTTGTGGTCAGATTCAACCAGCACTTTCCTACCATACAGGTAGGTTTCAAACTTCTCCATTGCAAATACTATGGCCAATAGCTCCTTTTCGATTTGTGCATACTGGACCTCTGTGGGGGTCAGGGACCTGGACGCATATGCGACTGGATGTCCATCTTGCATTAGACATGCTCCCAGGCCATGCATAGAGGCATCGCACTGTAGTGTGGGCGTGGCACCTGGGTCGAAGTATTTTAGGACTGGAGTTGTAGAAAGGATCCTCTTCGTCTCTTCCAGGGCTGCACCATGAACTTGGTCATCCCAAAGGAACTCGTTGTCATTCTTAGTGAGCTCACGTAGGGGAGTCGTGATCTCTGAAAGTCTCGGGGCAAACTTCTGCAGGTAGTTAGTCATCACTAAGAGGCGTTGGATGCTCTGTTTGTCAGTTGGTGTTGGCATCTCTCTGATTGCCTTGACTTTCTCAGGGTCAGGTTGTAGCCCGTCAGCGGAGAGCACATGACCCATGTACGCGACTTCCTTGAGCCTTAGCTGCAGCTTTTCCCTGTTCAGCTTTACGCCTTTATCTCGGCAGCATTGGAGAAGAGCAATGAGTTTTTCATCATGGTCTCTTACCGCTTCATCATCATCAGCTCCGCATCCAAATACGAGGATGTCATCAGCGATCGCTTTGCATCCGTTCAGTCCTGCTAATGCCTGATCCAGTCTTCGCTGGAATTCTTCAGGGGCTGGTGAGATGCCGAATGGCATTCGGAGCCATCTGTATCTTCCCCACAGAGTACCAAATGTGGTTGCATAGCTGCTCTCCTCATCCAAGGACACGTGCCAGAACCCATTTTTGGCATCTAACACAGTAAAGCACCTCGCATTTGAGAGCTCAGGAAGGACATCTTCGATTGTCGGCAGCGGGTAGTGATTGCGTTTAAGGGCTTGGTTAAGTGGTTTGGGGTCCACACACAGTCGGACTTTGCCATTTTTCTTCAAAGTGACTACAGTTGCTGATATCCAGGAGGTTGGAACATTTACTGGTGTGATGATGTTAAGGCCTTCCAAACGATCCAGTTCCTCTTTTAGCTTTTCTTTAATGGCGATTGGCACCTTTCTTGTTGGGAGTTGAACTGGCGGTACGTTCGGGTCAATTTCAAGGTGGAGATCACCTTCTAACTTTCCTTCTCCCCTGAATACATCAGCTTGTTCTTTGAGGATAGATTCTGCTGTAAGTGGTGTTTTGCTCTGCGAAGGCTCTTCAGACTGAATAGACATGATGTTTTGTCGGACCACAGAGATGAGTTGCATTTGCTCACTGGCTCGTAAGCCAAGCAGAGGATTGCCTTTTCCTTTTACAACTACAAATTCCACACTGTATTTTCTTCCATTTCTGGGATTCACAACTTGGACACGTTTCTTGCCAATCGGCTTCTCCTCAGTTTTGTTGTACATAACAAGAGTTACGTCCGCATTGTCCAGCAGGGATAGGCTGCCTTCACCATATACTTCTTTGAAAGACTCTTCAGGTAAGATGTTCACTGTTGCACCAGTGTCCAGTTGGAATGGGACTCTATGACCATTTAATACCATTACCGCAAGCAGTTTGTCTTTACGATCAGGATTGTCCACTGCACAGACGTGCTCCTTGACATCAACACAGGCGACATATTCGTCAAAGTCAGAATCCTCCACTGCATGTACTGGCTTGCAGACGTGTCTCGGTGTGGGAGGTTTAGAGGATGTGGCCGAACTGGGTGGAAGCAGTTTGTTTTTGCAGGCCACCGCAAAGTGGTTTGGAATGCCACAATTAGAGCAAGTCTTCCCCCATGCAGGACATTTAAGCTTGTTCCAGACATGCGTTTTGGCGCAGAACTTGCAGCGAATTTCTCTAGGTTTCTTTTCATGAGACTGACTAATGGCGCTGACTTCCTCCTGATTAATTTCTTTCAGTTGTTGGCTTGAGGTCTCATAGGATCTACAGATATCAATGCATTCCTTCAATGTGAGTTTGGAGACTTGTAGGAGCTTCTTGTGAGCTTGATTGTCTCTTACTCCGATGACAATCCTGTCTGTAATTAGACTGTTCTCTAACACTCCGAAGTTACACGTCTTCGCCAACGTGCGCAAGGCTGTGACATAAGCATCCAGAGACTCGTTTGGTTCTTGGTCTCTCTTGTTAAATCGGTATCTCTCATACATTTCGTTTGTCTCTCTGATACAATAACGCTGTAGCTTTTGGAGAACAATATCAATGTCCTTCTTATTGTCTTCAGTCTCGAATTCTAAGCCTTCGTACACATCTAGAGCATCTGAGCCAATACAGGTTAGCAGTGTGGCAGTTCTCAGCGATTTATTTACAGCAGGGTGTTCAGGGTCTTTTAGACGTGCAGCTATTTCATAGTTGTTCCAATCACGGTGGAATTTCTTCCAGTTCGTCGCCAAGTTTCCTGTGAGCTCTAACTTTGAGGGCAATGGGATGTTTATCGGGATTTGTACCAGATTTGGTTGTGCGACGGCTTCTTGTACTTGCACAGACGCGCCGCTATCTTCGGGTTTCGGTGGCATACTGAGTAATTTGAAGTTAGCTAGATTCCTTCAGCAGAGATTTCCTTTTGAAAACACAAAACGATTCCAGTCACCGTTGTCTTCCGCTATTCGTTGTGAAGAAGGTTATGAATGGCGAGCGCCAAACACGGCAGTATCAGTTCGCAGATCAGAATCTCTCTCCAGAACACTTTCCGGTTCGCTGAGCAATAATCCCTCGACAGCACCAATTGCAGAAACTAGTTTTCACTTCTGACACCATGTAACGTATTCGCTAAGACGGATGACGGAACACCAGAGCACTCAAACACAACATTTTAATCTTGTAAGCCGAGTGTACATCAACAAGCGAAGAGCGCGCAAAACATGCCGGATCCCGGATGTAAACTAAACTGTATAAATGAACTTAACATGCATAAATTAATATCGTTACAACTACTAAAGGCAGTTAAACAGACTTTCAGTATTTTGCTCCACTATATGATGTCCATTATGTAGAGAGCATTGAAGTGGGGGGGGGGGGCTGACTAGGCTCCTTTAACTTTTCGCTGCCATTTCAGTCAAGTGGTAATGTGCCTGGGCGCAAATTAACAAGAGCTGCAGATACATTAATAATCCTGTCAATCACTGGTGTTGCTTCTTCCTGAGAGCCACCAGGTTTGGAAATTAAGAAATCAATTGGCAGAATTCCAGACAATATCGAGTACTTTCGGCGAAGGAGGCCAATAACCCTTTCGACATGAATGCGAACATTTGCGATCCCCTTAGTTTTTTCAACATCCACAGGGTCAAGCTGGTCTTTTCCCTTTGTGAAAGCAGGGATGGCTAGTTGTGCTTGCTGAAACATAACACTCTCTGCGATGGTGAAACCACAGTCAGCCGAGACCAGATCCCCAGGCAACAACTTATTTAAAATTCCACAGTTCTCAGTTAAATATTTGTCTGATGTTCGTCCTCCCCAAGCTTGGGAAACATAGGAGATTGTACCTTGTGGAGTTATCCCAATCAGCACCTTAACAGTGTTATGGTGTTTGTATGATGACCATGTCTGTGCTCTTGCGAGCAGATTTGATGGTCTATTAATAAATACTTCGAAACAATCAATAATCACAGTAGTTTTGTTTCCAAATGAATATTTAAAACACTGTGGCATAGTTCGCCATAAATCCTCACGTTCAGGCGAGTTGATAAGTGGAGCCAGGCGTATATCTAGCGCTACCATCCAGGATGAAAAAATCCTTGAAACTGTTGAAAGGGAGACATTGAAGCAATATGAAAGATCTTGATGTGGTGCATCAAGTTTAAGTTATATCAAAGTCATGACAAACTCTTGAAATGTGGTCAGATTCTGGGACTTGTAAGCCACAAACGGAGAAACATGTTTGAAAACATTTTGCAGGATATCGAAGGAAGGCAATCCAGTGTAGAATTTAACTTTTTCTTTGTTTTGTACAAATTCCCACCGATCAAATGGTTTCCGGTCAATGTTTAGAGAGCTGAATAAATATTCAAACTCTTCAGTTTGTGTGCCAGCTTCAACTGTTAATTTTTTCTCTTCTTCCTCATTTCCTTCAAAGCTGAGGTTTGAAACCTGTTCACCAGGCTCATTAAGTTTCTGTCTCTTCGCCGTTCACTCTAGTTCTAGCTCTCGTTCTCTCTTTTCAAAAGCCAGCTTCTTCACCAGTTCATGTTCCCTCGCTCTCTCGCTTCGTTTTGCCACCGCTTCTTTATGATCTGCTCGATCAGTAGCTTTCTTCTGTCCCAAAAGCAATGTCGGAACCCAGTCAATATTAAATTTATCCCAGCTCTTAGCTGCCCTTCCTGAAACAAAATGCTTTTCGCACACACGATCGTTTTCTAAGATCTCGGTCAGATCGTCACGGCTTATAGCTGAAATCCAGCACGATCTTCTTTCTTCAGATAGTTTCTGTGCCTCTTCGCCTTGATTTGTGACCACAGAAGGCACCCTTGCAAAGTACAACCCTTCATCTCGTCCACTTTTTCTGCCACAGCCAACGATCAGACACAAAACCATGTTCCACGCGAAGGACGCTACTAGTTTGTTTACAATTGAGGTACACCAAAATGGTGGCGTAGCAACAGTAGTCAAGGAATTGGTCACGTGAGTGAAAATGATCTATAGGTCTTTTGCAACAATTGGTCACGTGACGTGCTTTTCAAGAACTCACTCATTTAGTCATTGGTAATACATAATGTTATCAGAAATGGAAAGAACAGTTAA